TTGTGATGAAAAAAAGGGGTTATTTGGAAACTAACCTCACATGGTGATCCGATCAAAAATTCCTAACTAGGCAGGTCAAGGTGGGTAGTCATGCCCCAGGCATATAACTTTTTTAGTATAAAAGCTTTGTCTTTGCCTTAAGCCAAGAGAGCAGTACTATTAACTATCCTGTAATCATATCCCCAAATTGCTTTTTCCCATCTTTATTTAATCTTTGTTTCCTCCTTAATCTCGCATAAAAGAAATTGCAAGTTGTTATCTGCAGCATTTGTCTGAGTCTGTTGAGATCCTGCTTCCAGGGGTGTTCTCCTTTTGGCTTAATTGATATAAACATTCTCTACAGGTTTGGATATTTCTTATATAGACAGTGTTTGTGAGATTTTTCCACTGTGAAGTTATTTTTCCCATTCCATATTTTTTGGAAATGAGTCATCAAGTCCAGCTTACAATCAAGTGGGGAGGAAAGTTAAATTTTAACTCTTACAGGGGGGGTGTATCTACATATATCATTTGGAAATCTTTTGTAAGGAAGATTTGATGCCTCATTTTATTTATTCATTTATTTGTATCAATATAAATTTTATATATTTATTTTTTTCTTAATAAATTTTTATTGTTTAGATTATTACAGTTGTTCCTCTTTTTCCTCATAGCTCCCCTCCACCCAGTTCTCACCCTACCCTCTCTGCCTACCCCCAACTGTCCTCATCTATAAGTGTATAATTTTAGTCCATTCTCTTCCCACACCCCTTTTTCCCCAAGAATTGTCAGTCCACTCCCTTTCTATGCCCCTGATTCTATAATACTGGTTTGGCGGTGATGAACTCCTTTAGCCAGCACCACAAAGTGAACTTATAATGTCCTGCTTCCTCTGAGCTCCAGCACCAGGGCAAGCCTCTGAGGAACACATAGGAGGAGGAACTGGATTGTCTGGCATTGGGGAAGGACTGGGGGGCAGCTTTCTCCCAGATGGAAGTGCTTGCAGGGATCATTGTTCTTATGCTGGGACCTCCCCTGTGCACTGCTGATTGGCAGCCATTTCTGTTTGCTCCACTCTACTGATTCCCTAAGACCCCACCTCATTCAATTTACAACCCCACCTAAGCTGTGTGCAGTGGCTTTTTGCATATGAATGGCCTGTCCTTGCTCAGACTAAAATCTTTCAAACAAGCTGCAGCTGGGTCATGGAGCCTCAAACCTATCAATAAAAGGCCCAAGACACAGCACCAGCAACAGCCTGCCTTGCTTCATAGCTGGGCATCATCTGGGCACTTCCAAACCCCAAACAAAGAGGAGGAGTCTGCAGCTCTCTCTATAACTCCTGCTTAGTGGCCCCAGGCAGTGGCTGACTTTGCTCCTCCCTGGAGACCCAATAGCCCTTGTATCCAGTGGTCACTGTCAGATCATACTAGATTACAACTCTACACATCCATAAGCTACCCAGTCATGGGGCAGACTCAGTGAGCACCAAAGCCCCACTGAAGTAAGTCCTACTCTATAAGGGTGTCTTCTGCACAGCAGCTCTCCCACTGTAGTTGCAGCTGTTCCTCTCAGCCAATTGGCCTGGAGGTCAGTTTCCACGGTGACATCAACAGCAATCAAGTCTCAACTACACTAAGACTGTACTCACAGCCCACAAAGGGGTGCACTTAGAGTGACTGGAGAGACTGAGCCATGGGCCCTATAGAACACCTACCACACAAGTCCACTCTACAACTCAAGGAGACATAGCAGCTCTTCCCTATGTATAGAAACAAACACAGGGAAGCAGCCAAAATACAGAGCAAAAAAAATGAAAGAAATGGAAGAAAGCAAACTACTGGATATAGAGTTCAATACCATAGTTATAAGGTTACTCAAGAATCTTCTAGAAACCTCAACAACAAAAAAATGGAAAAGGACCAGTCTGAAATTATGCATACACATTGATACAGGGATTCAACAGTAAAATAGAGAATTCTGAGAATCAAATCAATTTGAAATATGAGGAAGCAAAACAAATCCAACCAGTAGAGCAAAAAGAAAATTGAATCCAAAAATACGAAGATAGTTTAAGGAGCCTCTGGGACAACTTCAGGTGTACTGACATTCACATAATGGAGGTGCCAGAAGGTGAAGAGAGAGAGCAAGATACTGAAAACCTATTTGAAGAAATAATGACAGAAAACTTTCCCTACCTAGTGATAGAAATAAACTTACAAGTCCAGGAAGCACAGAGCCCAAAATAAGAGGAACTCCAAAGAGGACCACACCAAGACATCATAATTAAAACGCCAAGGGCTAAAGACAAAGAGAAAATCTTAGAAGTAGCAAGAAAAAAGCAGTACAAAGGAGTACTTTGGCCTGCAAAGGAGTACCCATATGACTATCAGCTGATTTCTCAACAGAAACTTTGTAGGCCAGAAGGGAGTGGCAAGAAATATTCAAGTGATGAATAGTAAGGACCTACAACCAAGATTACTAGCAAAGCTATCATTTAGAATTGAAGGTCAGATAAAGAGCTTCACAGATAAGAAAAAGCTAAAGGAATTCATCACCAAACCAGTATTACATAAAATGTTGAAAGTTATTCTTTAAGAAGAGGGAGAAGAAAAAGATAAAAAAAAATATGAACAACAAAATGGCAACAAGTACATACTTATTAACAATTGAATCTAAAAATCAAAATAAATGAACAAGAAATTTAATGAATAAAATAAACTGAATAAAATAGAATCAGAGGCACGGAAATGGAACAGACACAATTCTCAGGGGGAGGGGGGTAGAGGGCGGGTAGAGATTAAACAAAGATCTTATATGCATATATGCATTACCTATGGGCACAAGCATTAGGGTGGCGAAGACCTGGAATCGGGTGGGGTGGGTGGGAACTGGATGGAGATGGGTATTGGGGGAGGGGGAGCGCGAGTGAGACATCTGTAATCTCAACAATAAAGATTAAAAACAAAAAGAAGTCATCAGCTGTCTTGGTACTTGCCAAGATAAAATTGGCAGATGTTTTCATAAATTCTGGAAAAAGCCCCAACATTATACATGGGACCTTGAAATCTAGTCTATCCTGCAGGGAAACCTTGAGACCTATAGTGGAAAAAGTGGAAAACCCTTGAACTCCCACCAGGTGGGGTACTCAGACTATTAAGAATATGCCAAGCGTATTAATAAATTTGCTTGCTTTGCTTCAACACGCTTTCTATCACTTATCTGAATTCTTTCTGGACAGTGTGACAAGAAGCTAGGAGGAGAGAGCCTCCTCACACTCAGACGGTTCTCTGGTAGCACTTTGATTTTTAAATTTAATGTGCATTAATATAGATGATTTTGGTCACAGCTTAACCAAAATGCATTTGGTCAAAGTGTAATCAGAATTTGATCCTGCTCTCTCTGTTGTCACTGGTGATTAAGATGAAAGTAAGCCCTAACCGGTTTGGCTCAGTGGATAGAGCATCAGTCTTCGGACTGAAAGGTTCCAGTTTTGATTCCCATCAAGGGCATGTACCTTGGTTGCGGGCACATCCCCCGTAGGGGGTGTGCAGGAGGCAGCTGATTGATGTTTCTCTCTTATCGATGTTTCTAACTCACTCTCTCCCTTCTTCTCTGTACAAAATCAATAAAATATATTTTTTTAAAAAATAAAAAAAATAAATCTTTTTGTTCCCTTCTCCCAGCCCTTCTCCCAGCCCTTCTCTCAGTTATTCCCAGAAATGTTTCTCCCCCCTTCCCCTTTACTTTCTCTCATTCTCCTTTTATAGGCTGAAAAATAACTGTCATTATGTCAGATAAAATACCTGATATTCCTATCAAGGAAAACAAAAAGTGTGTGATTTGGAGTAGAATTAGGTATAATCTTCATTCCTCTATTCTGTCCAAATTATACCTATTTTTCTTCAGGTAGCATTCAAACTATATAAATAATTTAACTTAATTTTATGTAAATAGAGTTGGCATTCTTTTCATTGTACATATACAAAGTTTTGTTCACTTACATACATTAAATAACTTTATAATCAGGATCTAATTATCAATCAAAACTTTTAGTGGAAAAATGGGTAGTTTCCTAGAATGTATAGTGTTGTATCAGAATTCATCTGAAAATTACAAGGCATCCCCCTTAAATGCTGATTTTAAATGTGTGCAATCCACTTTTTGAAAGACAAAATATGTATGTATATGTAACAAGCTTAAAGTTTCCATTGAATTAGCCTCATGGATAAGAGGGGTTACTTGACTGCCTAGAAAGGGAATCACAGGCTGGTAGAACCTTGAGATGTGGCCTGACTCTGGTTTTTAGCCAAGCTATGGATATACTTTTGTCAGTGTTCCCAAATGGATCAAGTTCTATGGCCCTGCCTGCAAGACTTAAAAGGAACTAATTGAATGTCAAATTTTCAGAGAGACCAAATATTGTACCAGTGATACATTTTCATCCTTTAGGATAGTTTACATGAAGGATAAGTTGTAGTCATAAGGTTGGTGAGCATGGAACCAGATCCCAGGGTAGGGAGTTTGTTGGTGTATTTCATAGCAAGTGTCATGTCTCTGCTGCAGAAATGGAGAGACATATCAGAAACATTTCCTTTGATTGTCTTTCTCTTTGGAATTCTCTTTTTTTTAAGGGTCCATTTTGTCTGGCATTTTATTGAAACATTTACTCTTAGAATCAATTGGTTAGTTGAATCATTTTATATGTTAGTATCATTATATAATAGTTTCCCAAAACTACCATAATCCTCTAAACTTGACATAGCTTTTCAGACATTTCCTCAACTAACCATTCACTAACTTGATTGGGGGAGATTGCCATATTTATAGGAGATCAATTTAACCTTTTACTCATTGAGTTTTATAAATCTCACAGTTGTCACTTTAAGTAAGTAACATTTTCTATTTTGAAATTGAGGAGGGATTAGTTACTGTATTGCGCTTGTGCCTACTATTTTTCACCTTGTTATTAATTATACGTTTTTTCCTATGTGTTTCAGGACCTACCATAACTCTGAATCATGTCTGATAACGGAGAACTGGAAGACAAGCCTCCGGCACCGCCTGTGAGGATGAGCAGTACCATCTTTAGCACTGGAGGCAAAGACCCTTTGTCAGCCAATCACAGTTTGAAACCTTTGCCCTCTGTTCCAGAGGAAAAAAAGCCCAGAAATAAAATCATCTCTATATTCTCAAGCACAGAGAAAGGTAAATAGAACTATGGCTTTAAGAGTCCGTTATTATTTTGTTACTCATTTGATATCTTTTTAATTAAAGTATATGTTGATTTTTAAATTTTTTTTATGGTGAGAACAATAAAAATCCAAGAAAACAACTAGTGGTGGTATATAGGCACTATTAGGAAAACTAGTTTATTTTAAACTATGATAGAAAAGAATAAAACTAAAGTTTTGCTCAACAAACTTGCTATGCCAGTGATTTTCTATACTCTTCTCTTAATTTTCAGAGACTAGGGCTATAGTCATGGCTCCCCAACATTAATAAAAGCTATGATACTTGAGAGAGACCTACTATTATAAGAATTGTGATATAGCCAAAACCGGTTTGGCTCAGTGGATAGAGCGCCGGCCTGCAGACTGAAAGGTCCCGGGTTTGATTCCGGTCAAGGGCATGTACCTTGGTTGCCTGCACATCTCCAGTGGGGGGTGTGCAAGAGGCAGCTGGTGGATGTTTCTCTCTCATCGATGTTTCTAACTCTCTATCCCTCTCAATTCCTCTCTGTGTAAAATCAATAAAATATATTTAAAAAAAAAAAAAAGAATTGTGATATAGTCTACAGTACCATGTTTAAAATCCCTGGAGCCAACTTTGTTTTGGAATTGAGAGGTTTTCTGATTTTGACAGCAGTAATGCTGGTTGTTTTTTTGGGGGTTTTTTTTTTGTTTTTTTTTTTATCATGTGTTCTTTAATGCCCTCAGAAGCATCTGAAGCAGCACTCAGCAATCAATGTGTGAACGCATCTTTGGCAAACATGAGTCTAGCCCATAGTTTCTCAACCTCATTACGATTCTACACAGTGAAAGTTGTTTCATTTTGGTAACTTTCCCAATATTTCAAACTTTTTTATTATATTTGTTATAGTAATTTGTGATTGGTGATCTTTGATGTTACTAACGTAATGGTTTCAGGGCACTACAAACCACTTACAAACCACACCTATGTAAGATGTCAAACTTAATAGATAAATGTTGTGTGTGTTTTAACTGATCCAATGACTGGTCATTTCCCCGTATCTCTCCCTCTCCTTGGGCCTCCCTATTTCCTGAGACGACAATATTGAAATCAGGCCAATTAATAACTTTACAATGGCTTCTAAGTATTCAAATGAAAAGAAGAGTTGCATATCTGTTACTTGAAATCAGAAGCTAAGAATAGGACTAAGTTTAGCAGGGAAGGCTGAGATAGGAATAAAGCTAGGCCTCCTGCACCAGTTAGCCAAGGTCTTGAAGGAAATTAAACTGCAATTCTAGTGAACATACAAATGATAAGAAAGCAAAACAGTCTTATTGCTCAACCACTGAGCCACGCCAGCTGGATACAGATAAATTTTGGAAGACTGTATCTACCATCGGTAATAAGTCCTCTGATGGATCTTGGCAAATAAATTGAAACCTTCTGGAAAGGATTCACCATTCTAGATGCCGTTAAGAAAATATTTTCATTCTAGGTTTGTGAAATATGCTGTTGGTATTTTGATGGAAGTGCATTGAATTTGTAGATTACTTTGTATAGTATGGACATTTTAATGATGTTGATTCTACCAATCCATGAACACAGTATGTTCTTCCATCTGTTTATGTCTTCCTCTATCTCTTTTTTCAGGTCCTGTAGTTTTCTGAGTATAGGTCTTTTACCTCCTTCGTTACGTTTATTCCTAGGTATCTTAATTTTTTTGGTGCAATGGTAAATAGGATTGTTTTTTTAATCTCTCTTTCTGTAAATTTACTATTGGTGTATAAAAAAGCCATTGATTTCTGGGCATTAATTTTACATCCTGCTACGTTGCTGATTTTATTAAGTCTAATAATTTTTTTTGATGGAGTTTTCTATGTAGAGTATAATGTCATCTGCAAATAATGACAGTTTTACATCTTTTTTTCCAATTTGGATGCCTTTTATTTCTTCTTGTCTAATTGCTATGGCAAGCCTGTTGATGTTTTGATTGGAATTGTATTACATTTGTTGGGTAAGTTCAGGAGAATTGCATTTGGCTTTGTAGTTGAGACTACAGCATCTGCGGAGTCTCCTTTTGTAGCTTGTTTGGAGGAAGATTTAGAAGCACAGTCATTTTTCTGTTAAAGAGAGAGGGAATATTTGGAGGGTTGTGTGCTCTTATTCCCTGAGACTCTTTCCCTCCCTTTCCAACCTTATCTTACTGTTCCTTCCTGACACAACTGTGGCCTGAAGCTTTGAGGATTAGGAATGAGGGAAACCCTATGTGTGTGTGCACATTTGTACTTATAAGAACACAGTAATCTACCTGCTTAACCACTACCAACATTTATGCAGTAGCATTCTCCTGCCTAAATCCCGAGCTACTGTTTTTGTCTTTAGTTTTGTCCTAATTTATTTCTGGGACATTCCTCATAGATTTTGTTTCATGGTAAAGAGATTTGATGTAGAAAGGGAAGGTTACAATATTTGCTTCATCTGTCATTTTGAAACAGAAGTCTGGGAGGGGAAAAATTGAATCATTTAAAAATATTTATTTCAGAGACGAAAGGAAAGGGAAAGAGATGAAACATCAATGAGAAGAGAGAATCATTGATTGGCTGCCTCCTGTACGCCCCCTGCTGGGGATTGAGTTCGAAACCCAGGCATGTGCCCCAACAGGGAATCCAACTGTGACCTCCTCATAGCTTGATGCTTAACCATTGAGCCACACTGGCCGGACTGTATCATTTTTTTTTTCTGATTGTATCATTATTTTATTTTTTTAATATATTTTTACTGATTTTTTACAGAGAGGAAGAGAGAGGGATAGAGAGTTAGAAACATCGATGAGAGAGAATCATCGATCAGCTGCCTCTTGCACACCCCCTACTGGGGATGTGCCCGCAACCAAGGTACATGCCCTTGACCGGGATTGAACCTGGGACCTTTCAGTCCGCAGGCTGATGCTCTATCCACTGAGCCAAACTGGTTTCAGCATATCATTATTTTAAAAGTTAAAATGGCCCAGCCAGTTTCATCATTTATGTTTCTCTCTCTCCCTTTCCTTTCTCTCTGAAATGAATAAAAACATTTTTTTTTTTAAATCAAAATGAAGGAAAGATTGTTGCTATCTCTAATGTAAAGCCTGATCTATAGATATTTATTTTATTCTACGCAAATTTACACTCCTTTGTGCTGTTCTTGTTAACAAACATTTAATATTTTCATTTAAAAGAAGAAAGGATGACTTTAGAGTATCTTCAGTTATTCATTTTTGGTTTTAATTGGTATCATTGGAAAAATTAAGAAAACAAGAAATTACACTTTTTTTAAAATTTGTGGGAGTTTTTATTTTTTTATTTCTAATATATTTTATTGATATTTTACAGAGAGGAAGAGAGAGGGATAGAGAGTTAGAAACATCAATGAGAGAGAATAATCGATCAGCTGCCTCTTGCGCACCCTCCCCCCCCCCACTGGGGATGTGCCCGCAATCAAGGTACATGCCCTTGACCGGAATCGAACCTGGGACCTTTCAGTCCGCAGGCCAACGCTCTATCCACTGAGCCAAACCGGTTTGGGCAAAATTACACCTTTTAAAAAATTTATTTTTATTCATTTCAGAGAGGAGTGGGAGAGAAAGATAGAGAATAATTGATTGGCTGCCTACTGCACTCTGTGCCCTGGGGGAACTGAGCGTGCAATCCGGGCCTGTGCCCTGACTGGGAATCAAACTATAACCTTCTGGTTCTGAGCCTCGCCAGCCGGACAGTATGCCTTTTATGCAACTTAATTGGACAAATCGTTTTCACATCTCTGCTAATATGTACCATATGCACCCTGTAGTCATCAGAGAGACAGTGACAGGCAAAGCAGATGGTGTCCCTGCCCTCATGGCACCACTGATCAAACACTATAGCATAGCCCTGGCCCGAGTGGCTAAGCTGGTTGGAGCATTGTCCCATATCCTGAAAGGTGGTGAGTCTGTCTCTGTATCTCTCTTCCCCCTTCTTCTCTCTAAAAAACAAAAAAGAACTGCAGCACAAAATTATAAATTATAAACGGAACCATGATAGAGATAGTGTAAGATATCTATCCTATCTGGGAATGCTTCCTAAGGAAATGACATTTAAGTTGAAGATTAAAGGATGAGTAAGTGAATATAGTTAGGAGGATTTTGATAGTTAAAACATGTTTTCAATGCCTAGAAAATAATTTCAGTGCCACAGACACAGGAGGGATCATAGCATATTCATGGAGCTAAATACAGTCCTGCAAGATGTGAAAGCAGAGAGGGAGAGAGAATTAATATAGCAATAGAGGCCTAATGCACGTAATTCATGCAAGAGTAGCCTTCCTTCTCCCGACTGCCAGCACCATTTCCCTCTGGCACCCAGGACCCGGGCTCAAATCCAGTACTCTGGAACCCAGGCTTCCCTTGCAGCCCTGGCTTCATCTGGAAAGATGCCTGGTCTCATTAGTATATTACGCTTTTATATAATGTAGGAAACTACAGACGGCAGAAGGGGCTGGGCTGTAGATGTGAGGTAGGCAGGGAACAGGTCATAAAGGGCCTTGTATTCCATGCTACAGAACTCAGATTTTATTCTGTTTCCTGGGGAACCATTACAGAATTTTAAACGGGAAAGACCTGGTCACATTCCTGTCTCAAGTAGAGACTGGTAGATGTATGGAAAATAGATTTTGTTAGTGAAGATGGTAATGCTCAATTATCTTGGCTTATATTTAAAAGCTCTGTTTAGTTAGCTAGTGTTAAATGTTATAGTATATAATATATAAACTACAACAGTTTTCACATCTAATTAATTAGCCTATAAGCAAGCACCTTCACGTCTGGTTGGTTAGGAAAATGCTAGAGTTAGAATTATAAATACCCCTTTTGGTCTAAAAATTTAATTCTAAGATTAGTAATAGTAGTCCATACTCATCTGTCTTTATCCTAGAGAATATCCTTCTGTAGGATGGAACAAGTTTAGTTTCACCAATTTGAAGCTGTTCTGGGTCAAAAGAAC